GAGTGTTAATTAAGTACATGTTTGGATTAGTGTTCACAAACCACATTCACAAGAAAAATCACCTCAAATGATTTAAAATATGCAGAAAGTACAATAGTTTGTTTTTTCTGAGAGGTAGATTGAGACTAACATGATGTTAAAGCAAACATATACATTAATTAAGTTGGCAATAATAATTAATTAAATGCAATTTGAATTAGCGTTCACAAATCACATTTATAAGAAAAATAATGATAAATAGTTCAAAATATATAGAAAGTACAATGGTTTGTTTTTGCAAGACGTAAATCAAGACCGACTTAAATAATATTTTTCATGAATGTAAATTAGTTTTTAATGGTAAATTTTAGAACATTACGTAAACATGCCTATTAAGAAAAAAAACTCGACACTGACTTAGTGCTAAAGCAAAATAATTGACAATGATAATCGATTGAGTAGTGCATAATTAACTTTTCATAATTTTCCTATGAAAGCAAAATGCAAATTCTACTCACTAAAGTGCCAATAAAATAACCAATGGTCTACAAATGACAATCAAATTATTTTCTGTGCTCTTGGATCGTTTATATAGGTAAGTTAAATGTTGTATATTTGAGTAAAGTAATATTTTTTTTCTAAACTAAAGAACTTCGTGATATTATTCATTTTTTTAAAAATATTTCTCTCCATTAAAAAAAAAAACTCAAAATATTACGTTATTTTCTATCTATTCATTTCTTGTCCATTTTTCTCTTTCTTATTTTTATTTACTTTATTTCTTTTCTTGCTGTCAAGCAAAATATTGGAGAGAGAGAGAAAAGTATATTTATGATAAATGATAAGATAATAATAGATAAATAAAGAAAATGCATGATAATCGACAAGTGTTAGTGTTTGAAAGTTTAAGGTGTTCATGTATCATGGGTAGATATAGAATATCAAAACGACGTACGTGTCGTCCCATGTGATTAAATTTGTGTTGCCAAAAGCATAGATTCCCCTAGTTGAATTTCATCACGAAGCTTCCTCTTAAACTAGCTCCATCGATAAATTAACCTAGCCAGTAGAAAGTTATAAGATTTTCTTATATAATATGTTCCTCATTCAACCAGTTTTGTTCATACTTGACATGCTGTGCCTTGATCAGTCTTCCATTCTTTCAAAACAATCGTACATGGATAGTCAAAGAACACGCGGGGCATAGAAATTTCTGCGTTTTGACGGTCAACTACATAGGTACAAGCTAGCTATGTTGGTAATGACAATGCACTTTAGTTTTGAAACCATTTTTCCCCCACTCAACCAGCAATATAGTTTATATGGTGAGTTTTCTTTGCTAATGATGATAATGTCAAAATGTTGGTTGGGAGTGGAGAAATCACAATACGTAGAACATGTACTCAAAATGAATTTGTTTCGTCATGCATTGTCAATTCCAAGCCTTCAAACCTCAAAGTCCGTAACATATTACTCCATTACATTTTTTTTTTCATAGTGGTTTAAAGTTTTTACACCGGACTTAAAAAAATAATTAATATTTTAATTTTTAAAAATATTTATTACTTACTTTTTTATTATATTCTTTATTTTTTCTTTTTATTTTTATTTTTACATTTTTAAGTCTTGAGACGGTTGATTTGTGTACACTTATTATTGTTAGAGCATCTCCAGCGCCCATTTTTCCCTTTTTTTCTTAAGCATTGAAACTTATACAAAAATTTTTGATAAAATTTAAACAACTCAAATAGGCTGATGTGGTAAGGAGGTTGCTTATAAACAACCCCGTTAGAAATGCTCTAAGTTCGCAAAAAAGTATATACCAAAAGTAATTTTTTTTCACATGAAATGTTTATGGTAATAAAAAAAATGAGGCATGAATGAAGTATATACCTGACAGTGTGTCCTTTGATTAGTGAACCATGGTCCTTTGATCAAAGGATTTATATTTTATTATATTTAAATATTATATTTTAAAAAATATATATATTAAACAAATACAATCCACACTTTTATAATTTTTTATTTATATATTTTTTTATAATTTAAAAAATTAATATAATTATTATAATTAAATATAATAAGTAATATTTTTTTTATAACTAATTTGTATTTTAAATAACGATACTTATTTAAAAATCGTTGTTTATTATAAACCAATTTCAAGTATCATATGGTTATTCTCTAATAAACTTTTTTAATAAACACCGTTATTTATTATTAATATACATCACATTCATTCACCATAATCACTCTCCATTGGAGATTCTTATATTTTGAGAATCTCACATTTCATGACACTCTAATTCAAGTCACTGAGATGATAATATATATAATTACTTATATTTATTTAAGTAATTAACTATCAATATACGTATAAGTCAAAATTAAGGAACAACATAGCAATAACCAAATAAATTTTGTTAATTAATTAGTGTACTGGAAGAATCCTATCAACCACGTGGAACGACACGTGACACCCTATCGACCATCGAGATGGTTGAGACACAAGTTGTTTATGTACCCGCCTCGGCCATATCTCGCCCGCCGATATGACTAAAGCATAGATTGATAGTTCGGCACGGTTCTCGGACATGGCAGTGCTCGTGATAACGAACCTACGAGATCATCAAAAACTTGGCCAGGGCAGTGTAACTTGCTGGCCTTATTAGCAACGTCTCGGCTTGGCAAGAGACCGAGACCCACAGAAGCAATCTCGGTTGCCCTCTCGGTTCCCTCGGCTCGGCAAGAGACCAAAACCTAGAGGGAACCCCGGTCGTGCACCTCTCGGCTCGGCCAACGACTGATAAGACCAAACAGTGATTAAGACGACAATCATGCTTAATAAGGACAAACACGTGATTAAGGTATAATCAACCAATTAGCACCGTATTACCTAATTTGGCAAATGTCAGAAGAGACCCACCACGTCCAGGGCCCATTACAAGTAGTATAAATAGGTCATTTAAAATGAGGTATGCACTGTTCATTTATTACTTTCAAGATTCGTGTTTGTCCTAACTTGAGCGTCGAAGTGCCTTTTGCAGGTACCTCCCCCCTCTGAAGTATCTGTCCGGAGCTCTCGTTCGGCCCTCAAAGTACTAGAAGATTACGAGTGTGCCCTTAAACAGGTACATTTTGGCACCCACCGCGGGGCCGAACCAAAAGCTTTGAAGACAAACTGAACAAGTGGAATAATGGTAGCGACAAGGAAGACTACGACAATGGAAGACCCTTGGTTCAAGGAAGATCACGTCGAGGTGGTCGACGAGACCGACCTCACGAAAATGGCTGTTGAAGGAAGAAATGATGGCCATGTGGCAGCAAAGGGAGAAGGACGCAAGAGAGATGGCCGCCCTAAGGGAAGAAAATGCGGCACTAAAAAACCAAGACCCTTCTTGGAAGCTGTCCGAGCCGAGCCAAACGCATACGCATGGATCGTTCCATTCCCTCGGGCACCACACCTCCCTCCCTCACGACTTGGCTCCTCCTCTTAGGGGCATCCCAACCCAAACACTCGGCCGACCCCCACACAGTGTCCCAATCGGAGCACACCAACACCCGTTCACCCCAAACATCATGCAAGCTTCTCTCCTCGACCATTGGACAAGTACGACAGAACGACCGATCCCGACGAGCATGTCCACATTTTTCTCACCCAAGTCACTCTTAGCACAACTGATGATGCCGCTTTATGTCGGATCTTCCCAACATCCTTGAAGGGATGAGCGTTAAGCTGGTTCACTCGACTCTCGACCAACTCGATTGACTCTTTCAACACGTTGGCCTCCCAATTCACCATTCAATTCGCCACCATCCGGCCCTACCAGTTGACCTCCCTGGCCTTGGTGGGCATTCGACAAGAAAAGAAAGAAGCTCTTCGGACTTTCATGAGCCGATTCAACAAAACGGGGTTGGAAATCCGAGACCTCAACCTTGTAGTGGCCCTTCACCACCTTACCACCACCTTAAAACTGGGACCTTTTGCCAACAGTATCTGTAAGAAGCCGCCAACGGACATGGATGACTTGCGACGACGAGCTGATAAGTACATGCAGATGGAAGAGTTGATAGAGTTCCGCAATCAAGCTCGATCGGAGATTGCTGCCAAAATCGATAAGCCAGTCGAACCATCATAATAGGGCTCATAATGATGGGGCACGCCCCATCATTACAAGCCGTCATTCTTTATGACAATGCTGCCTCTGTTCATGAATCGAGGCGACGTTTCGATGACACACGACACTCAACCCAAGAGATCAAAATGAAAAACCACGACCCTTCACATGACCTCGGCTGAAAGCCTTCGGAACTCGGGAGACTAGTGTACCACCCATATCGGTACTAACTCCTCGGCTAAAAGTCTTCGAAGCTCGGGGGACTAGTGTACAGCCCATATCGGCACCAGGGCCCACCTCGGTGCCAATAAGATCAGACTACGCCAACTTGTCAAAATAAGCCTAATCGCCCCTTGATTAGATAAACCGATAAGATGGAGATCTTATCATATCCTAACCAACTCAATTATCAACAAGAAAAAACCCTAATCATATCAAGGTACATGCACTATATATATGAGACTCATACATTCACAAAGACTAACTTAAGCATTAGAGTCTCTTTTACAGGTACCAACCCCATCTCGAAGTAACAGACGTATCAAGTAGAAGAGACTCACCGATCTTATCCAGAGATCATCTCATCCACCGACTTCAGGTAAGAACACCATGTATTTTTTCATAAGTAAAATATCGAGTTTAAACTTCGTATTAAAAAAAAAAAAAAACATATCCATTATATCGTACTTATTCTCGATTCCGATAAAATAATCTCCTACAGAAAATCCGTAATTCCAGACTAAAATTATATAATCTCGTTCGTGCGCTATTAATTAATACATACCATCACACTTATCCAAGTCGAACATTATTCGTTGAAATAGTTTGCACGATAATTACATTATTAACAAGTAGGCTTATTTAAAGAATTAACTAAGCATACACATATGAAGACAATCGAACTTGGTCTAGAAATTAAACATCAGATTCACGCACCAACATCACAATCACAAACGAGGTATTCTCGGTAAAACGACACCATACATATAATGGCATATATTATATACATCCACATGCTCGACGCAAAGTCGCAAACACTAACACTAATAACACTAACACGCCCTAATTAACTTACCTTTATTTATAATCATAATATAATGATCCCGCTGATCCATACGGTGCACCTAATTATAAAATGGTTGGACCGTCCAAAACAGAATTTGGCAAAGGGAGAGAAGAGACAAAGCAACAGAAACTAAGAACATAGGGCAACATAGTTTTATAAGAAAACGGCTTTGTTTTTTTTGTTTAGTAAACGAGGTGACGGTTGGGCATAACGACGTCGTCCAGCATCCACAGGTCGTCAACCATGTAGTTGTTGTTGTTGTCGTTGTTGTTCCACTCAACACCACCGTTGGGCAGAGGCTGCTCATTCTCCAACCCCAGGAACCACTCCAGCTGTTTGAGGTCGAGCTCGTCGCCGCCGTGGATGGCGGCGTCAGGCGGCGGGGTGGTGGTGGTAGTGGTGGTGGTGGTGGTGGAGGTGGAGGAGGATTGTTGGGAGTGGTCGGGGGCGAGGCAGCGTTTCTTGGAGGGCGGCGGCGGAGTGGCGGGGAAGTTGAGCTTGGCCTTGTCGCCGCGGATGCGAGTGGCGGCGGCGTCGTAGGCTCTGGCGGCTTCTTCGGCGGTGGGGAAAGTGCCGAGCCAGACGCGGACGCCTTTGTGTGGGTCCCTTATTTCCGCAGCCCACTTGCCCCATGGCCTTTGCCTGATTCCTCTGTACACGTTCTTCCGAGCTCGCTCACTCTTCTTTCCTTTCTCTGCAACCACATCCACGCTTTTCTTCTTCTTCTTCTCACATGCTACCTCTGCCACATACGTACAAACATTGCGTTATTCCTTATCATCATGCCACACCTCACAAAGTACTCTTCCAAAACACTATGCTGAATTACATTCTTTTCTCACCCTCTTTCATATTTTTACAAATTTATCACTCATCTTTTCAATTTTTTTAGTTTTTACCGCTTAATTAATTAATATTATGTGTTTAATATATTATTATACGTGTTATATCAGTGATCAACCAATCAATTGACAAATGATATAAAATTTTAATTGAGTGAGAAAAAATCCATAAAAATATAAAAAGACAAGTGTAAAAAAAACTATATATACTAATACTATACTAAACTAGAATAAATAAAATAATTTATTCGTTTGGTTGTGAATGGCTATTGTGGATTTTCTGGAAACGGGAAAGGCCATGTGTCTTTCGGGATGGCATCCGTTGGGATCAGGATTCGGGGGTTGTTATTGTGATGGATCATATTATATGATCAGGATTCATTTGTTTAATGTATTTTTATATGCTTTGAGAGTTTGCTTCTCGTGTTTAAAAACTGTCAAAAAGTTGTAAACTTTGCCTTTTCTTTTTTAATTACCTTTACTTTTCAATTACAAGGAAAAACGTGATCAAAAGAAACATCGACGTCTTGCTGGTTGTTGAAGGAAAATCAGTGAAAGCTTCAACTTTACTTTAATTTTGGGTTCGAACCTATCCAACAAACACCACCTATTTATCAACAAAAATAAGCCCCAGAATAGATAACTCGATCGGTAATTCTAATGAACAAGTAATTTCGAGTTTGAATATAAAACAATTATTTGCAAAATGATTTGTTTCTCGTAGCATCAGTCTTCTTTAGGTGTCGATTGGGATTTTTTGCATATAAAAGAAAAATATAATATCAAAATAGTAAAAATTATGGAGGTACCATTTTTGTGTTGAATTTTAGGCAGTGGTGGTTGGCGTTTGGAGGTAGCGGTGTCGAAGGCAAGGAGGTCAGCGAAAGGATCAAGCTCGGACCAGAGATCCTGCGCGGCGAGGTTGCGGCCACGCTTGACGCCAATGAAGTCTGAAATAATGGCACCTCCACACATCTTCACTATCACTATGAGTCTCGTGAGCCGTGACAGACACACATCAAAAATACATGCTGTGTGAAAGAGAGAGAGAATGACAACGTGCTGCGTCTTCACGTTTATATAGAGCCCACGTTGCTTCTCAGTTCTCCCGCACACTGCAGGGCCCCACTCAGGACCTCAATCACGAAATCGTTGTTTCACCATCAGACGGTGGAGACTCTTGCCGTTTGGCTTCGGAACTTGGGAGGGACCGATTTAACGCTCCAGATTTAACGGCAGAGAGAGAGGAACACACGGTTTCAGTGTGGGTGTGGGGTCCACTTCGTTTTGGAGTTAACCTCGCATCATGTGTCACCCTCCAATTCTCTCATAATAACGCTCTAGACCATCGATGTAATGCCAAGTTACTATGATCCAATCACCTACCTACCGCTGTAAAATTTTCCATCACTTTATTTTACTGTTTTTTTCGCAATATTTGAAAGGGAAGTGACTGCATACAACTTTGTACTACTCTGTACAATTACTACATGCACTGTGTGTGTGACCCATACATATTTACCTTTTTATTATTCATAAAAAATTCAGACCCTGATTAATGGTTAATTTCTTTTCTTATGTAGTACCTAATTCCACACCTTTAATATAAAAGTGAAGAAAAAAATAAAATAAAGCTACTCTGTTTGCATATAATTCTTGTTTTGCTTTCGTTTCACCGTAGAGGTAAATATAAATATTTACCATCCAGTCATTCACCGAAATGACGTTGGAAAAAGCTGGGGAAAATTTTCTTCTCAATGGAGGGCCGGTGAAAGTATCTGGTATAACTAAGGTAATTATTATGTGGTGAATGATCTGAATCAATACGGTAATTATTATGTGGAAGTTTTTTAATTTATGAGAAAAAATTATGGCTTATAAAAATTAGTTAGTTTTGATTTTGATTATTAAAAGATTTTCTTTATTTTCTTATTTTTTTAAAAATTGAAACTAGTTTTTATACAATCACTTTTTACTATTTTTATCTATTAAATGATTAAGTAATTATTTATAATTATTAATACTATTATGTTAATGTTTGACACTTTTAAAAATTTCATATAAATTCTAAAAATAATGTTGTTTATCTATTTTAAAATGATTGATAAAAATAAAAAAAATAATTTTCAATTTTAAAGGAATGAAAATTTTAAAAAAATATTTCAGGTAAATTAAAATTAAAATTTATTTATTTTATAAAAATAAAAATAATATTTAATTATAAATTTTAGAAAATATTTTTTTTTATAGAAACTAAAATCAACTTACTTATTTTCTAAGAACTATAAATATACTTAAACTAAAAATTAATTACACCTAATTTTTCCTCCAACTGCGATTAACATTTAGAAAAGTAAAATAACTTGTGTTTTTAATTTTTAATGCAATATTAATTTTCTATTCTAATTCATTTTGTAATATTTTTTTACACCTTTTATAATAAATTCTCCAGCCAGCAGAATCAAAAGTTACTTAATGATATATTTATTTATTGTCCTAAAAAATGATATATTTATTATATATATATATAGGTATAGATTCACCGACATCATAGGAAAGAAAAGGCAGCAGTAGTTTTTTTTTTCTTAAATAAGGAAATATTAGTGAAAGGTCAGCTTCCAGCATGTAATTTAAGATTTAAAAAAATTTACTTACTTTTCAAATACAAATAAATTTTAAAATATGCTTATGTCGGGTTGCAAATTTGTTTTTATTTTTGACCGGGCAGATAGCAAATTTTAGTCTCAGTTTGGGAGGATGGGGAAAAAACCTTGGCGGCTAAATTTCAATTAAATTATGTTCACTGCGTCCTTTCTTGGATTATAATTCTCAAGTTAATACTTATCGTTGACCCAAAAAACACATTATATCGCATTATGTGACAAAACAAAACTTCTAAATTTTTATACGATATATATGTATAATTTTTCCTTTTATATCCACATGTTTAAAGAAGAAAAAGATAACGGAGTTATCCTTATGTTGAGTGGAGGCATACGTATAAGGCTGCAAATACGTATATGTGTATAACGTACATGATGATTGCAAAGCTGAAAATAAAGGTCGTAAAGTGGTAACAAAAAGAAGAAAAACACAAAGCGATAAATGCAGAAGAAAACAAACAAGTAGATCGAGGAATCGCAAATTATGCGGAGGAATTTAGGATAAAACTGATCCAAGTGGCTCACACAACCCTAGTGTAACCAAGCACCAAGATAAGTGTGAAGAATTGAAGTATGCAATATACATACATTAATTAAATAAAATGGCGTCATAAAATATGAAAAGTATTTTAATGTTCATGAGCTTATTAAGCATCGATCTATACACCGCCATGCATGTTGTAAAGATTGTGAGGTGAGGTCCCCTACGTAGTGTTATAAGAGTAGATTGACTTCATTCTTGGTAGTATACATTATCATTTAGTATATATCATCAATATGCATATTATAGTCAATGAATTGCACATTTCGAAGGGTTTTCTGCGTTTCTTGTTTGCAAGTTGTTAACAGTGTGTTCTACCCACTTACCTAAGGTGAAGATATTTTTCAGCCGCAATATGAATATGGTATACATCTTACACCTTTATCTAATTAAGTGGTCCTGCTTAGTGCTTACGACTTACGACTCTCACTGTACTCAGGCACCTTTCTATGTGGATATATCTCATCGTTATATCCCCATTCATTAATTGTTTTCTGAATAACACATCACATATATTTTATCATACACGGTTTTAAGTTATTACACACAAATTATTAAAGAAAAACTTCAGTTTTTTATTCTATATTTTTTATTCATTTTATTGTGGATATAAAAATATAATTCTGTCATTAAAAATAATTAATATTATTCTAAATATTAAAGATGTCAGGTAAATAAAAATAAAATTCTTTTAAAAACAGACAATTTTAAAAAAAGAAAGAAAGAAGAAGATGGAGTATAACTTAGTGTTCATAAAGTTTGGGAAAGTAAAAATTACTATATATGCATAATGTCAATCCTTTCACTACATACTTATGCAACTGACAATTTTCTCCACTCTATAAAGTATGTTTTGATCAGCTGCCACCTAGTTGGTAATGATTCCTATAAACCAAACTATATATTCTCGAATCAGTTCAAGTCGTCGAAATTCAATTCCTATCTATGATGATAATGACTAAATTGATGATAATGATTATATATATATATATATATATTATATTAGAGACTAATTTAAAAATTACAAATATTTGATAACTATAAAAATTGATTAATACATTAGATATAGTTTATCTTTAAATCAGTAGATAATATTTCTTTTTAAAAGAATCTTTAAATATTATTTATTTTATATAGAAACTATTCTTTTAATATCTAATTGAAATACAATTAAAATATGTTTTGGTAAAAAATAAGCTGCATGTAGAATAAAAATGAAAAATATATTAATTAATTTTGGTACGTTTTGTCAGCGTCCAGACTCATTCAAAACAGTAGGGGGGTGGGGCAAGTAGTCAAAACTGCTCACAGAAATCCTCGAGTCCTGCTGGTTTTCTCCCAAATAATATAAATATGTTATATAAGTTACAAAATAAAATAATGTAAAAATTGTTATATTTTAAAATTCTAATTTATTTCTAAACATATTCGTTTATCTTTAATCATAATTAATCACAATACATTATTCTTTCTTAGAGCCAGCTAATTATTTGTTTTGCCCCACTTTTTTCATATTTTTCACTAATAAAAATTAATTATATTACATTTGTAGAAATATTTTTAAAATTTATTTTTAATATATATATATATATATATATATATATATATTAAACACTATTTTCTCTCGTCAAAATATATGT